ACAGTGTCATCGAAGCTACCGGCATGAATTTGACCCAACTCCGGGAGGCAGTGGAAGATAGGAGGGCCTGGCGTGCTCTGGTCCATGGGGTCACGAAGAGTCGGACACGACTTAACAACTAAACAACAACAACAAAAATAGACATCCAGTGTTAAAAGAGAAGCATGGAAGACTGTATTTTTCCAGCATACCCCTTAGAGGCTTGCAACTTCACCATACCCGGCTGTGCTTCATACCTGTTTTTTACTTGACCCAACAAATAAATCACAAGTGATTGCATTCTCTTCTTTTGTTGTCATCATCACCTCTAATTGCTTTTTAAAATTCATAGACTCAATTATAGGAGCTCCTTTAAGGTGCTATCTCTAGGGTTGTCAGCTCTCAGAGTGCCAGCTGGAGATTCACAAACGGAAAACTTTACATCATGGTGCATAACTTTATGTTACTGGATTTTAGCTATCAAGCATTCGCTGTCTTGGGACTGCGTCCAGCTGCTGGCACCAGGACCATCATAAATGACATTATTCATGGATTTTTCTGATTCTTCTGTTACTGACTAATTATTTATACCATCTACCCCAATAAAGTTCTAGAAAATAATAAATCATATTAAATGCAAACAAAATAGCATAGAAATATTACTAATTATTTATACCATCTACCCCAATAAACTTCTAGAAAATAATAAATCATATTACAGTAAATGCAAACAAAACAGCATATAAGTATTCTTTCTATGCTATTTTGTTTGCATTTAATATGATTTATTATTTTCCAGTTGTGAATTTAAGTTTTGTTTTTGAACTCTGCATGGGCCATATGGCTATTTCAGGAGGTGGGGTGGTTATTCATATTGTAGGGTTCTTGTAAGCACGATTCGTGTCTTCACCTAACTTTTGCCCTCTCAAACTCCATTTAATACCATCTGCAGTATTCAGATGAAACTGCATTGGTGACACAAGCAACTCTTTTCTGTCAACAGTTTTCTCCAACTCCTGTTGACAGGACTCTTCTTTAAATGCAGAGTAACCTGGGAGGCTTTAAATGTTTCATCTCAAATAAGCCTGAAATACTAAATGTATAATTCGTTTGGAGATGGACATGCAGGTTTCACAAGTACTGTATACTGAAATCTTGGATTTTTCCACAGGCAGATTTCACTTCGGTCCTTGGAGACATTCAAGCCTTGCTTCTCTGTGTGAACCAGGAATGGCTAATCTAAACAAAAAAGATAACTTTTTCTGTATTTTCCGTCATCTCTGGTTTTATCAATTAAAGTGAGAAGAGCACATGAAAGGTACTGCAGTTCTTCAACAGGCCACTTCTACCTGATCTGGGCTCTAGAACATTTTACAAAAATCATAGGCAATTTATCAAAATAAGAGACATAAAAGTTTTTTATTTATTTGTACACCCATTAATGCTTTTGCAATGGTAGAGCTCAGAGGTTTACAAGAGAAAATTAAGATTCTATAAAACAGAGGAGATGAGAAATGTTCTATTACTTAACAGAAGAATTGAGCATTCAGTCTTAAAAAGCGCTGCGTGAACAACAAGAGATGCAGGATTTATGAATATATATATATTTTTAATATCAAAGGTCCCTTGCCTGAAATGCAGGTCACACCTGCTAATCTAAAAGGACAGGGACATGTAAACTGGGAAATATTCCTAAGGATAGGTTGAATCTGGCCTTTAAATAACACGCACCTTGACTAGACCAAAGCAAATGGGAAGCCCGTTCAGATAAGCCAAATGGAACAGGAAGAGAGAGGTGGGTAATGCATGGAGTTTACAGCTTGCCCTGCTAACAGGCTCTCAACTACTTCTGAGCAACAGGCTTGCAGTGGCTGTTTATCTTCTAGTGATTAATGGCCTCCCTTGCTTCCTGTTTTAATTCCATTACTATCCAGAAGTGTAGGAAAATTGCACTGGTGTCTTATCCTCCCCCATTCTTATATACAAGAAATGCATGAACTTTGCTTGAACCTTTGTCACTTTTCTCTTTTGGTGTGCTTCTGGCCCAAGGTTAAAATCAAAACCAATCCGTGGTTGCTGCTCTACTCCTCGGAACATAATTGGACAGACCAGGACATGGATGGCAGCTGTGTACATAGGCATGATAGCACCTTTGTAATTTCCAAGTTCACTTGCAAAGTTACAGAGTGGGAGTCAGCACAGTGCTCTGAATCCCTCCCAGTCAAAAAGGTGGGATCACCAGAAGTCAAGCAAGATATGGCTTTCTGGCTCCCGAGTGTGCTTCTGAAGAAAATAAAGTTGATAAATGGGGAGGCTACTTTAAGTATCATTCAGTGGTTAAAAAAAAAAATACTAAGAGGCAGGTGTGTGGGTGAATTTGCAAGCCATGAGAGAAACAGAGATTGATCACAAGAGGAACTAGACAAATCTCTCTGTGACCTTTGGTTTTTTGGAAACCGAAGCAACAAAGCAAAGGGAATCTTGAGGCAATCCCTTTAGAGGTAGGGAGATACTGCCTTGCTGTAGCTGGACACTATGCAAAAGGCTTCTTTTAGCAGGTGGGGGGGGGGAAGACTCTGAATCAGAGCAGTGCCCTGTCAATCCCCATCCAGAGGAAACTCTGCTCTTGGCAGATGCAATCAAATGCAAATAGCTGTCAAAGAGGGGGAAATTATCATCTACAAACACAGGGAAGGAATTCCATCTGCTGCTTCCTTGAGAAGGGGCCTTAATAAATTCAGAGACAGCTAAATTACACACATCTTAATCAAGTCTTAATCCAAGGAATTAATGCGTTGTGCGTTTCTGCATAATTCCAGGAATCACGCAAAAACCATGACAATAGCAAGAGCTGCAGATGGGCTCTCCTTCTTGCACAAAATACGGCATGAAAAGGTACCCGAGCAAACACAGCTCCCTTCACAACATTCCACATACAGGTGCACCCTCTAAAAATGACAGAGCTCTGTGTGTTTGCATGTGAGTGTGTACGACTGTGGGGCATCCTGGTTTGTGCATGTGTGCATGCCGGTATGTGTCACACCACTATGATTGCCTCCACATACTTAGGGATGGGGAAATTCATGCCACCTAAAAGGAATTCCCCTAAGAAAGCTTGATTTTTCTTAAACAGGGAAAAGCAAAATGTTAGTGCTTTTAAAATGCAATTGTTTAAAACATATGCATTCAGAATTATTTGAACCCATCTACAGAAAGCGTAAAACAAAGGGAGAGATGAAATACATCATTGGTGGTGTAAAGGGAAGATGTTAACTACAGTAATTCACAAGCAGATACCATATCTACTCCAAATTTACCTGTGGTCAGAACCAGGAACATTTCCCCCCCACACACACACTTTTTCTCTCTCTATGATAATTACTAATTGCCCTACAATTAGTAGATCATTTTTGTCCCCTTAGTTTCAAAAAAAAAAGAAAGAAAGAAAGAAAGAAAGAAAGAAAGAAAGAAAGAAAGAAAGAAAGAAAGAAAGAAAGAGAAAAGATTAGCCAAAAAAAAAATGTGATATTTCTAGAGATGGTGTAGAAATTTATTTCAATTTATTTTGGACTAGAATTTATCCAGTTCACACAGCCTGGAAGTAAGCCCAAGCGCAAGGACAATTTGCAACCAGAAATCTTAACATTTACAAGACTGCACCCTAAGTTTAATAAATGTGTATGTTTTGGGAGAAGACAGGAGGGGTGTGCTCTGGTCCATGGGGTCACGAAGAGTCAGACACGACTAAACGACTGAACAACAACAGCAAATGTTTTGGGAAATTGTACAATAAAGAAGCCTCGTGGTGCAGTGCTTAAACTGCAGTGCTGCAGCCAAAACTCTACTCATGACCCTGGTTCACTCCTATGTGGGCAGCTCGAGGCTGATTCAGCCTTCCATCCCCCCAAGGTCATTAAACTGAGTAACCAGCTTGCTGGGGGGGGGGGCAATGAAATTGTAAACCACCCAGTGAGTGCTTTAAGTGCTATGGGGTGGCATAGAAGCAGCAGCTTTGCTTTGCTTTAAAATACATACTTTTTAAAAATGTACAGAAATATACTGCAGTCAGTCAGAGACAATATATTTAAAAAATATATAGAAAAGTATGCCTATTTTAACGAATGTGTACAAAAAGAGCTATGAATTCCCTTACAAGAAAAAGCTACACACCTTGCAATCTATTGAACACCTGATTTAGAAGAGACTTCCGTGTGGAAATTGGAGGGCCTCAACAAACCCAAGTATTTCACAGTCATATGTCTCTCTACAATAGTTCACACACAAGGAATCCCCCCCAATATATTCTCTACACAGCTTGGATTAAGTCCTGGTGAACTCAGAAGAATGACCCTCACTTCCTTTTTAACTTTAAAGTAAGAGTGCGGGTACCAATCTGTACTGGAATAACTGCACTTAAGTCCTGGTGAACTCAGAAGAATGACCCTCACTTCCTTTTTAACTTTAAAGTAAGAGTGTGGGTACCAATCTGTACTGGAATAATTGCACGGCATAGAGAAAGTATACACTTGTCCCCCTGCAGTTGTTCCTTTCGCTCGCCGGCTCTCTCCCAAGACAGCACCTCTTGCACCCTCCATCCAGAACTGCAGCCTGCCAGCCGGCCCACCTGTCTGTCGGCTAAGGAAACTCCTGGACGGCTTCTTCGGGCTTTTGCTCCGCTTGGCGGAAAATCTGATGCGGCCCAGCCTCACCCAGACTCTGCCTCTAGCGGCCCCCAGGTAAATTGAGTTTAAAACTCCTGGCATAGAGAAAGCATACACTTGCCCCCCTGCAGCTGTTCCTTCTCCTTAAATTCCTCCATCCAGCAGAGTGTAAAAAAGGGGAAAGGACTCCACCAGTGACAGTCTCAGAATTTCAAAATATTCTGTGTGCTGTCCTGTCCTCACACATTTAACCTACTATGCAGTTTAATTGGAAATAAGTTCCAGTGAGAGTAATTTACTTCCAAGAGATGCCACTTCCTGGTAAGTGCCACTCACACGTCACCCCGTGTATCTCTTCAGCTCTTCTCCAGCAGGCAGATGGAGTTCAACCTGCTCACTGACTCAGAAGGCCACAGCCCTCCTCTCTCCCTCTCAGAGTCTGGGACGCCTCAGCATGAGCACGGCTGCAAAGGGCAAGAACACAGCGGTGAGTAGAACGGTTGTCTTGCTCTAAACACCAGATTATCCTCATGGCACAGCTTCCCAGATGCTTGGCTTGAGGTTAGTTTCTTATGTCTTGTGGGGCCAAACAGCAAATGCAGCACAAACAAAGTGCCCATGATAACTCTTGAGTTTATTATGAAAGTTTATGGTTCAACATTAAAACTTACATTTTTTTCCAATGTGCCGTATACCTGAAACACTCAAATCAAACAATCCATTGTTTCAAATTCAGTAGCTAAAACCTGTTGCATAGAATAGTAAGTTGATGCTAGAATATCTGTCATAAAAGGTTTGTTAGGAGTTTTAAGCGGCCCCGAATTTGGCGCGGAAACAGGCTGAGTCAGGTTGTCTGAACTACAATGATTTTTATTCAAGTATAACAACGGAGTATCTATAACAACTTCTGTGGGCACGAACAAGTCCCAGTCATTTAACTGTCTGTCCGTTCTACTGTACTGGTCACGAACATAATGTCTTCTCAAACTGGGGTGCCGGTCCAAATCTCTCCTTGTCTGTAGGTCTTCTCAGACTCGCGCTCCTTACCGCGCATATAGTGCTGCAGCATGGATGGCGGGCCCAATCCCCCTCCGGGGGAGACTTATTGAAGGTGGAATCCGGCCACACCACCTTCTTCCAGGGGCCACGTCCCCTCGGGAACACTACTACTGTCCATTCTGTAGTCTCCTTTATAATAATTCCCCCCTTATTCGGCACAGGATCAGGCGCCAAACCACCAACCTTCAGGTTGGGGAAGTCCTTCAGTAAGTTACTGACATCCTCCAGCTGCTTCTCTTCTTTCTCTCCCTTTCCAGCTCCGGTTCCCATTTTTATATCCTCCTCCCATACATCTATCCATTGCTCCTCCTCTTTCCCTTTCCCCTCTTCTGACAAACACACTTCTATTTTAACTCTTTCCTGGTCTTTCTCCCGCTTTGACACTTCCCTCTCTTCTCCTTCCCCTTTAATGTCTTTTCTTTCTGGAGGAGAGGATGCACTCAAGTCCTCCTGCCCTTCACAATAACCCATTGAATCAGTAGGGATTTGATGAGTTAACTACTCCATAAGTTCTATTGATTCAGTTCAGCAACAGGATTGTAGTCACTGAATTTTGAAAACAACAAGAACTCCCCTCACACATGAAAAGTTCATTTGCTAGTTTCATGAAAGTTTGCCTCAGACATAGAAAAACAATGTCCAGCATCCTGACCTAAAATATGCCAGCTAATGTAATCAAATTGAGATGAGCATAGCTACCAAGTTTGGCAGCCATTTCCTCCCACATCAGTCAGGCATGAAGGGATCTGCTCACCCCTCAGTTTTCCTGCCCTATCTCCACTTGTCTCAGAGGGATCTGTGTGATCATTGGACAGACAGGTGCTAATGAAGACGGGTGGAGATACATGCCAGGAAGAATATTTTGCCATCTCATGAATAAATATAAGCTTGATTTTTCTTGCTAGGCCAAAGAGACATTCTAAGCGCTCGTAATGGAATAAGCAGCCTTTGAAGGACATATTATAGTTGAACTGCAAATAAATGCATAACTGCCCTCAGACTTGTTGCTTCCTGAGATGGAGAAGCACCTGGCCTCCTACCTCCTCTGGTGAAGGTGCACAATACCCAAGGATGTTTGGTCTCTGAGGCAGAAGATCTCCATAGTCCCTAGCAGTAAAAATAAATATTATAATGAACAGGAATCTCTCATCCTAGCTATCTACAATTAAACAAGTGGACTTTGGGATTTATTCAGAGTTAAAATTCACATGTAAAATGGATAATGCCAAAATATATAAATGGTCACATATATAAAGTTACAGCAACCACTTTTTTCTAGAGGCAGTTCTAGATTGTGTATGACTAATTTATCTGTATGGTAGTAGATATGTGGAAATGGTGTTCCCAAATTAGGAGGAAAGTATTAAACATTACTGGCAAAATTAGAGAGGAAATGGATGGTGGCGAGATAATATATTGTGACAGATTTGTTTTAGTACATCAGAAAAAGTGGATCTATCCTTGAAAACCCACTGAAATAAGGGCTTTGCTACACATAAGACTCCTGCTTTTGCATCCAGTTTAGCATGCTTGAAATTAAATTTAAAATCTCCCAATTGCACAAAATACAGCTAAGTGCACATTTTTTTTGGCTGAGAAGTGGGCTTTTATAAACATCCATGTGGGGGTTATTTACTTTACATTGATTCTGGTCTTGCTTTTAAAAAAAAATCATTTGGCATGTGTAATTGCTTGTGCTAGAGAAAATAGACTCTGTGGGGGTCTGCAAGTTTTGCCAAGTTTTGGGTGGTAAATATAATGGCAAACTCCAGATATAAACTCTTCCTTCCCTCCCCCCACCTGCTTATATTATAGCTCTGCATCATTTTAGCACTATGCCATTTGCATAAAAAAATTAAATATTAGAAAACATGATTTAGATTTATTTATTTATTTACTTATTTTGATTTATACCCCACCTATCTGGACTACTCGTCCACTCTAGGCGGCTAGATGAGGCATGACGATTCTTAAGGGACAGAAGAAGTGACCATTGCAGTAGTCGTGGGCCATATTCTAGGCTGCTGATGGTGGCTTTGCTGAATAAAAAGCTGCTGAGTTCGGCATCAGCTGTTTCAGCGTAGGCAAGCTCCACCTAAAGTAAGGCACAAGGTATGGCTGAGGTGAAGAATTGTTCCCAATATGGAAGAAAAACTGGGAAAACCAGGATCCAGAGTGGCAAAATGCCAAGATACCACACAGCTTATAACAACACTAAAAGTTATTCTATGAGGATGCACACACCAGCACAAAAGTCACATGACATTAAATCAATTTCTAATAACCCAAACCAGCTTCTAATTCAACAGTGTACAGTAGTTGTGCCCTGAATCTGTTAGTCTTTAAAGGGTTACAGTCTGTTGCTCCCACACACACACACACACACATACCTTTCCTCTTTAATTTTGCCAACATGCTGAGGTGGTCTTAACATTACTTCTTTGGAAATAGGTACAAGATACAAAAACTTATGTTGTTCTTCTGTCTATGTGATACAGACCCCCACCCGCCCATTTAATTGTAAAGGAGCTGAAAATGAATGCATGAAATAAATGGGCAGGTGCCCCATCTTATGTGTTTTTACTCACAGATATGTTTGCCTAAATGAATTGGGATGTACTCCCATAAACAGAGTAGTGGTTCCCCACCTTTGATCCCCAGATGTTCTTGGACTGCAACTCCCAGAAACCTTCCCCCCCCTAGCTGTGCTGGCTAGGATTTCTGGGAGTTGTAGTCCAAGAAGTTCTGGGGACCCAAAGTGGGGAACCACTGCTGTAGTCTTCAGAGCCTACTATACTACGGGTAGGGTGGAAGACCGTAGAGCTCTCATTAAGGGGAAGCATCTACCTCCATGTGCTTCTGTCAAAGCATTTGTATATGATGAGATACATAAACACAGTTGCTCTGCACTATCAATACATGCATATTTTTACTTAATTTTTTGCCTATTTTTGGACCGCAGCATAAAAAAATTGGTCAATCTGAGTTGTGAACTAGGGCAAATAAATGGCACATCAGGTGGTAATAGCATAACATTTCCTCACCCGGAGACTTCATGCTTCTTAGGCTGCTTGTGTAAGAAAATGAATGCTTCTTGGCTCTGGAAAAGTTGCCTCACTGAGAACATCTGTAATGCATTATCCTGTGTTTGCTTTCTTAGATACAGAAAAGTCACAGCAGAACCAGACTGATGACTCTAATCCTGAGGATGGCTCTCTGAAAAAGAAACAGCGTAGGCAAAGAACTCACTTCACCAGCCAACAACTCCAGGAACTGGAAGCCACTTTTCAGAGGAACCGCTACCCAGACATGAGTACCCGAGAGGAGATAGCTGTCTGGACCAATTTGACTGAAGCCAGAGTCCGGGTATGGGTATTTAATATTACTGTACCTGGATTTTCTACTGAGCCAGTAGATGAGTGATGGGGTTGAAGGCAGCATGAAACTTGAAAAATAAGACATGGCTGTTCGTGTTAGAATATGGAATTTCATTAGATGAGGCTTGCACAGTTAGTCACACACGCTGACATTGGCTCTTTCATGCAACTTTTAAAGGTGCAGAATCCTGTCTTCCTAACTGGAGGACAAGCCACATCAGAAGCCAAACAGAACAGAACAGGCCACCCCAGGTGCTTGAATTTTGAACCCTCTACACTTGTACGTTAAGTGCAGAATTTAGAAATAATCCTGTTGGATTAGCTCAGCATAAGCAGGCAGTTCTGCAAGTGATTGCTACCTGTGTTGCTAGCTAGCTGTTGTGCTCCTCTCTTTCCTTAGTTCAGAAAGACGAAACGCCCAAATGCACACTTGCCAGAAGGGAAAGTCTGCAGCATGATTGCCTTTGTGCTTCACTTTTTCCTAACAGGATTTTGGCCAGTGTGTTTACATTAATATGTTAATGCTAAATTCTTTACCTTTCCTATTAAATGCAAGAAAAGCAAACACCAATTTACCTTTTTAAAACAATGTTTACTATATTGTGTTATGTCTGTATGACCACACTCTTCCTCTCCAGATCAGTTGTCTTATGAAAGGAAAGTCCAATGCTGCAAAGAAAAATACTGCATAGGAACCTGGAATGTAAGATCTATGAACCATGGTAAGCTGGATGTGGTCAAACAGGAGATGGCAAGAACCAACATTGACATCCTGGGCGTTGGACTTTCCTTTCACTTCCCGGCACGTCCACAGCTGAGCGTCCTTTTGCCTTTGGCCCAACCACTTCATTAGCTCTGGAGCTACTTGTACTTGTCCTCTGCTCTTTCTCAGTAGCATGTTGGACACCTTCCGACCTGAGGGGCCCATCTTCCAGCGTCATATCTTTTAGCCTTTTGTTTCTGTTCATGGAGTATTCTTGGCAAAGATACTGGAGTGGCTTGCCAGTTCCTGCTCCAGATGGATTGTGTTTAGTCAGAACTTTCCACTATGCCCTGTCCGTCTTGGGTGTCCCTGCACAGCATAGCACATAACTTTTCTGAGTTACTCAAGCCCCTTTGCCACGACAAGGCAGCAATCTGTGAAGGAGTTGTAATGGCTAAAGCCAACCAAATAAACTTGTATTTGATTTGATTTGTGCCCAATTTGGACATTGTCACTTAGGGGTGTACTCACTTTTGTTGCCAGCAGTTTAGACATCAATGGCTGTGTGTTGCATTATTTTGAGGGAACAGCACGTTTACACTGTTATACAAGCTGTATTCTCACTGCTTTACATTGTAGCGAAGTGTCATTTCTTCAGTGTTGTCACATGAAAAGATACACTAACAGATTTATGAAATGTGAGGGGGTGTACTCACTTCTGTGATTTACTGTACATTGGTACCCAAAACAGAAAATTTGCAAAATTTACTTTTCTAGACCATAGCTCCGCAAATCTGCCATCCAGTATGACCACTCAGCAAAAGTTTCCCAGAGCTACTGCCAGCCAAGCAAATAAATCTACCTGTGTTCTCATCCTCTAAAGTTCTACTACTATGCTCTGAATGCTGACTAGAACCCTTCTCTCCTCTTGCAGGTATGGTTTAAAAACCGAAGAGCCAAGTGGAGGAAACGAGAAAGAAACCAGCAGGCTGAACTTTGTAAGAACAGCTTTGGAGCCCAGTTCAATGGACTGATGCAGCCTTATGATGAGATGTATAGCGGCTATTCGTACAACAACTGGGCTACCAAAGGCCTTGCGGCCAGCACCCTGTCTGCCAAGAGCTTCCCCTTTTTCAATTCCATGAATGTCAACCCTCTCTCTTCGCAGCCCATGTTCTCAACTCCCAGCTCCATTGGATCCATGCCCATGCCCTCCTCCATGGTTCCCTCAACGGTGACTGGTGTGCCAGGACCAAGCCTCAACAACCTCAACAGTCCTGGCCTCAACTCTGCTGTTTCATCCAGCACTTGCCCGTATGCATCCACCGCCAGCCCCTACATGTACAGGGACACGTGCAACTCCAGCCTGGCAAGCCTGAGGTTGAAAGCTAAGCAGCATGCCAACTTCACCTATCCATCAGTGCAGACCGCAGCCTCCAGCCTGAGTCCCTGCCAGTATGCTGTGGATAGGCCAGTATGAGGAACTAGACCTCCCACCCCCTGCTCATCAGGAACTTGGCTATTAACCCACGAATGCCACCCACTCTGCCAGACCAAATACCTGGAAGATCTATTTAGTTACAATAAAGTTACAAACTTTTGACTCTCTTCTTTTGGTAAAGCATACAAAATTGTTCATGGCAAGTCCATTTGGGAAAGAGGAACTTCTGCCAGGTTAGGAGGGAATTTTCACTCTGGCACTGTCATGTGAGTGGGTGCCAGTCCAAGAACCGGCAACCAGTTCGTGCTACAATACAGAAAGAGACCTAGGGGGAAATGGTACAGCTTCTAACTCCACTCATAGCATATGTCTGTGCGGTGCTCCTCTTTCTGTGTTATGTGACTTCTGCTCCTTGCCCCTCATGACGTACTCGGGGCGGCCACGTCCTGGATAATGCATATTCAACTAGTGTTTACACTTGATTGTGAAATGCCATTGGTGCAATGTTTTGTCTCTTCTTTCACTTTGAAGAATGTGGCCTTTTGTAGTCAAGAAAATAAGATTTTGCTCCAGTGTAAAAATAAAGGGTGTATGAAGGCAGGTGCTAGAGACACAACGAGTCATCAGGGGAGTCTGGGGCAGAGTTGAGTGGAGACACCTGCTTGGACAACGCTACAAGCTTTCCTCACGTTAATACTGATTTTCAAGACTTGAGAGGAGGCTACCAATATGTGAGCAAGATTACAGAGCTTTGATATAAGGGGGAGGGCACAGCAACACAGGAATCTGAGAGCCCCTAAAGGGCCAAGAGCCTGATCCTCCTGCTTCACTTTCCCAGGATGGCTGCATCAAAAAGAGGGCAGGGCTCCTGTGTCTGTAAATAGGGAATTTCAGCAGGTTGTGCTTCTGCAAACAAGTGGCACCTACTGAAATTTCCACTTCTCTACAACGGTTAAATATACAGGAAGCCTGTTTTCTTTTTTCATATGGTCATCCTGTGGGCACCTCTTCAAATAGGGTCAAGGGTCAAGGCACCTCATTCTCTGTTTGATTTCATTTTCTACCGAGGCAGGAGTGAAATATCAATACTTACACACACACAACCTTGTAACTTTTCTTCTGCAGTAAACGGCTTCCAAACTCCTAAAATAAATTTCATTCAAAATAAATAAAAAAAGAGGAAATCCTCATTATGCATGTCTATTTATTGGCTGAACAGTATAAAACTATTATTTTGGATGAAAGAGTACTGCTACTTTTTATGAAGGTGGACATTTTTTGCTCCTTAATTACAAATCTGTCTTTCAAGCTTGGAATTCAGTGAATTTAATTTAATTCAGTAGGCCAGTGGTCTCCAACAGTTTTGGCACCGCAGACCAGTTTAGCATACGTGTGGGGTGGGTGAGTCTGTGCATGTGTGTGGGGAGGTGTGTGTGCATGTGCATGGGGGCCATGCGTGCTTTCGTGCGTGTGTCTATGCGTGGGCGGTGTGTGTGCATGCATGTGGGACAGCGTGGGTGTGCATCAGGGGCGTTCATGTATGCGTGTGAGCATGTGGGGGCATGTGTGCATGTGTAGGGGGTCCGTCCGTGTGTCTGTGTGTGCAGGGGGGCGAGAGATATGTCTCCATGGCCCAGTCCTGCCAAGGCCATGGCCTCGTACTGGGCCACAGACCGGGGGTTGGGGACCCCTACAGTAGGCTACTTATTGGAATTAACAGAACCAACGTGAACCTAAGAAAAGGGGGGGTTTGCACTGACACAATCCTCTGCAAGTGCAGAGAAGAACAGTGTCACATGTATGTCAGCATATACGTTGCTGCTGAGCATGAAATATTTTGTGTTAGTTGCCCAAATACTCCTGATGTCACCCATTATCGGGATAACATTACTTGATATATTTATTAATTGTACAGTGGTGTTTCTGAGCAACAAAAGAAGTGAATGTTATTCTCACTTGTTACACATTTAAGTGAATGTTTGGCAAAGTAGCACCATAGCTTATCACAAGATTCTAAATTTCCATAGTTTGGCAGTCTGCAAGCACACCAACCATGTGCTAAAATACTGGGCTCAAATTTCCACCAGTTACATATCACTTTTCATTTAGAATTTAACATTTGTTTGTACCCTTTTTCAGGCGGTCATACTTCAGTCTCTGGAGTCTGTGGGTTTGAATTAATATGAAGTGCACTGTTCCAATAACCCAAAATATTATGTAGAAAGTATTTTAAAAAGTAGGAAAATGTGTAATTGAATCAACAGAATTAAATAACAAAGGAACACTGAAGTAAGGAAGCTGCAGAATGGTTATTCCTTCAGGAGTGAAGGCCCTTCTTAAGCAACCTTCCCTAACCTGGTGCCCTCCAGGTATTTTAGACTAAAACTCCCATAATCTCTTACCATTAGCCATGCTGGCTGGGGTTCATGGGTACTGCATTCCAAAATAAAATTATGAGAACACCAAGTTGGTGTTAGAAAGAGTTCAGTTGTTTTCTGGTTTCCCTCATGACAGGTGACTCTGCAAGCTCTCCAAGCAGAGAATTCTAGAAGCATGGTGACAAAACAGAGAGAGGCCTGGTGAGTCACTATACGTTTCCTCTGATAATTTTATTACATTGAGCTTGACGGGTTGGTACTGAGAGGTCTTCCTGATGTTAAGGATTTAAATATCAACATCAGCATTTTGATGTATGTCTTGAAATATAATTGCTGGGACTTCTACGATATAGCCAAGCAGAGAATTCTAGAAGCATGGTGACAAAACAGAGAGAGGCCTGGTGAGTCACTATACGTTTCCTCTGATAATTTTATTACATTGAGCTTGACGGGTTGGTACTGAGAGGTCTTCCTGATGTTAAGGATTTAAATATCAACATCAGCATTTTGATGTATGTCTTGAAATATAATTGCTGGGACTTCTACGATATAGCCCCTCTCTTGCAAACAAACAAACAAACAAACAAATAACTGCTCCCCTTTAAAAGTCCTTCATCACGGATTTGTGTGACTCACTGGATTTTAGGAGAGAGAACTAGGTGTCAACAAGCACAATGAAGGCAACAAGCTTTGCTGATAAATTCTTTGCTTATATGAGAAGGTCTCCAATTCAGTCCTTTGTGCCTCTAATTGCAGAATCTCTGCTAGGCTGACCATGTGGCAATGGTCAGCCCAGCAGAGTGCCCAACAATGGGGTAAAAAGGCCAATGATGTTACTTAGGAAATTCTTGTGCCTCATTTTGCTCAGTCCATTTCAGCACCAATCCACTTATTAGACTTATTCCTATTTCTGAGTAATGGGAGTCTGGGCTGACAACCTAGGCTTCAACTGCTGGTTTCAAATCTAGTTCTTAGGATGTTTGACTACACATCCAAACTTGCAACATACTATTATTAGCTACTGAGCATGTTTGAAGACGTTGCTGGGGTTGTCTATTGAATAGAAGGTGGTGGGAGCAGAGTTTGGATGGGATTACTGTGCATGTTTTCTCACCACATGGACGAGTTCTGAATGATCACACACACTGACTTGGTTCCTCCTTGATCATGGTGCCTCTCTTCCATTTAGACATAGCATTGGGACAGCATGGGCAAAAAAAAAACAACTATAGTGACTACACAGTGTCAGTGGTTACACTGTGAAGTTGGCTTCTGCTCAATGTTATCACTACAGTTCAGTTTTGCTCCAGCAGAAGGGGGACACAGCAGTGACCACAATGTGTCCAACAAACAGAAGGAGTAGTGTAAGGGTAGGATAACATCCAGAAGAGTCCTGCTTGGTTGGACCAACGTTGTTTGTTCTGGCATTTTGTTTCCATGGGGCCCATCCAGTTGCCTTTGGGAAGCCCACAGACAGGATGTCCATAGTACCCTTCTACAGTACTTGTATCTCTCAGTGACCATTATTGAGAGGCATAATGCCTGTGCTACTGGAAGCATTATGTAGCTGCCGTGAGGAATAGCTATTGATAGCCATGCTCTCTACTAATTTGTCCAGGGTTGGGGAGAATGTGGTCCTCCAGATGTTACTGGATTGTAATTCCTATTATCCTTCATTACTTGAGTATGTTGGCTAGAGCTGATGGAGCTGCAACCCAACAACAATCTAGACTGCTGCATGCTTCCTGTCCCTAAGTTTGTATTTTGTTTATTGTTCATGTGCCATCAAATCCCTTCTACCTCATGATGAGCCTAGTAGCGTTTCTGAGATGAGAGATGTTCAAAGAATAGTTGCCACACTTCAGTGAGCTTCCATGGTCAAGCAAGGACTTGAACCCAAGTACCCTGAGTCCTGTCTCGAGCTTCGATCAATTGTACCACGCTGAGACTCTTACGTTGTCTAAACACCCTTTTAAAACCATAGCCATTGCTACATCTTCCAATTCTAAATTCCATACTTCAGCAATGGACTATGTCATTTAGAAACTGAATGTTGTATGTCCATTACATCTTCTTTATATGAACATTAAAATTTGCTCATATACTTGCTACTTTTCCCATTAGGATTTGCTTATATAATTGTTACTAACACCAACTGGATACCAACTCCTCTGGTTCAACATTGCTTTCTGGAATACAACGAGGGTTAAATCTGTAACACATAGAATGCTGAAAGTCATTGAAATGGTGTGATGCTTCCACAATATCTCCCAGAGTCTATGGACAATGTGTTAGGTAGTTTGCACAAAGTTTTGAGCAGATATGAATGCCACATGCTGGTATCTTTTGATGTTCTCAAAATAATTATTTCTAACCTCACATATAATGCATTTTATTGAAAGAAAAGGCATTACACCCACACAAAAGGCATATATTCTTCTATCAACATGCGAAAGATCTAGCATTCCACTAAGGGAAACCTTCCATCTTCTTAGAAAATGTTCAGAAATCAAGGCCTTTCTATACATTACCAGTTAACTTACATCCAAGTGTCTAGATAACAAAAGGGAAGGGAAACCAGGGTGGCACTAACATGTTTGTAAATCATTCATCAACTTCATTCACATCCTAAATGGACCTACAGAGATACGTACTGTACAAAATAAAACAACACAACAAGATGAACAAATGCAAGAGTAAAACATCCTGTCCAGATGGGAATTTGGAACAACAAGATGAACAAATGCAAGAGTAAAACATATGACAGAAGGCCTGTCCAGATGGGAATTTGGAACAACCTGGTTTGCACTTAAAAGGTTCTTATCTTCAGTGTGATCTATTTTATCTCTCACTTAAGCGATTCATCCACTCACACTGGAGATGCTTATTTTCCTCTGAGAAAGCTCCACATAATTGTTTGGCTCCCTGGATTTCTCATGTGCAATTTTAACCACTTTACTCATAAGGAGGCAGCAGCACAGCAAACTCGTGGTACCAGTGTGAACAGGAAACGTTGGGATGAAGGTTGTGGACACAGAAGGAAGTGGACCCCCACCACCACTTTTTCCTGTCTTTCTCCTCAGCTAGGACTCTGCTGGGCTATGGTGCCTTATGAGGGCGAAGCCCCGGGAGTCAATATAGCCCTCTTTCCTGCCTTTTCTCACAGTCATTATTCACCAGGTCACAGTGGCTTTCCTTAGTTAGTTACTTAGTATTAATTAAAGTAAGTGGCATATCAAAAGATGAAGACATCCACTTAGTATGGTATTAGAATTGTGTTGCATCAGTTAGGGAAATATCTTTTTTAAAAGATGAAAATAGGTTTCTCCATCCTTTCTTTTAATGCCACATCCTACCTATTACATCACAAGGTTGCCACCTCAGATAATTGCTGCCCACAGCAACATTTGCGTGTGAAGCAACCATCTGCACAGGCTACACAAATTAATTAGGAGTGCACTGAATCATACCACAAAGAATACATGCCAGAGCCCCGTACCAGAAAGGTGCACAGCACCTCACAGAGGGGCAGGATGGATGGATCTAAGTAGAAACATTGTTGTCATTTGGTTCAGACAAAACCATACCAATCTATATACCACAAATCTTGAATTTCAGGAAAGGGACAGAATAACATGAAAAAGATTGACATTGGCGTCAGGTCACATAAACAGAGGTCTAGAATTCAGACATCTTCATCAAGATCCAGGACCTGTACAGAAGCCCCTTTGTGTCAACAGTGCCCACTGGCTCCAACAGCCACACAGAAGTGCCTGTGGGGAATAGGTGGGGTGAGCAGGCTCCTTGTAACTTTCAGCTTGCCCCATGCTCTTGCTCCTAGCATTGTACAGAGCAGCCTTATCCACAATTTTCGGTAGATTGTTCTCACTTCTTCCTGCCTCTCTAGTCTGTCTTGGGGAGCGAGAAAGAGAAAGAAAGATAATTTTCCTGAGCCCTCTTTCACTTGTGAAATCAACTTGTTGTGCCTTTGTACGATGTAGCCCAGATGCAACCACAACTTTTAATTACTCTGTTAGTGCCAAACCACCTCCTTTCCAAGTAGGGAAACTGTAAACTTCTGGACGCTGGCAACAATAGTAATTTTGTCTTCTTGCTTGGATTAACTTGATACAGATCTTAACCCAATGCAAAATAGTTTATAGTATTAACTTAGCCCATACAAACACATTAAATCAAAGGCTGTGTATACAACAATCCACTTTTATGACACAGGTATCGTTACTGCTACACTTATCTCAAACAGCCAAATAAATAAACCCACTACACATCTCGGTGAAGTGAAATCACCTCAACTTTCACCATCCTCATAGCTGGCCAATCAGCATACAACTGAATTATCAGCATCTGATTCCTACATGATTTTTTGTTTTACTTCATCTTTTCTTAGGATAACTACCAAACAAAAAAGAAAAGAATACTACACTTTAACACCAAGCTTCTTCTTAGATTGTGTGAGCATCTGATATGTATATAAACTACAGCTGAGTTGTTGTCACTCCCTCTCTTCTGACAGCACTTTAGGATGGTTCACTGCCAGCCCCAAACCCCACTTAGCAGGCGAAGATGCTGCTGCCTATTGCCGCCACCACCCCACTCCTGAAAGTGGAGGATATGTCAGATAGCCATTCCTCTGGGCCTGTGAGATACATTAGTTTGCCCTGGCTGTGTATGTTTGTGTGTTTCCCTCCTTGGCAAGTAACACCGGGAATTTTGGAAATGCACTGCTTCCATTGAACTTGTTTCAAATTAAGAGTGTATTCTCCAAAACTGGCACAGCAATTTAAAAAACAATGAAAAAGGAGGAACCCTAATGGTGATACAAACCATGTGACCACGTGCCTTTAATCACTTTAAAGAACATTGCAGTATATTACATAGTATTCCAGTAAGGTAACCCTGCTACAAGTCAACTGTTAGTCAAGATTATGTAAGTGCACTGCAAATCTGCTATATCTAAATGCTTAGCTATCAAAATCCTCATTTCACCTTGGCTCTTCCGCACTACTAAAGATGGACTACATAGGGAGTTAGGCGCAGAAGTTAATTTACTTGGGGCAGAAGATACATGGCTGTAGCAATGTGCTAATGTTTGAAGTATAGAATGGCAGACTGAACTGAGATCTCAACTTCCTTGCTATTAGGGATGTAACTCCATGTACATGCAGTTTACTGGGGCCAAACTGCCAAGACGCACTGGTGCCAAGGTTCAAAGATCTCTTTACACATGTAGTCTCACAACACATGTTTAGATGGGAATCTAGAGAGTACATCCAGTAAGGATACAGCAGACACAAGTATTTGTGTATTTATGTGTAATGAAGGGATCCCAATTTCAGTGCAGAACATACCTCAAGAATGCTGTGTTCCTTGGCTGTAGAAGCAGTGGACAACTGGAAATTGGCTCCTTATCCCCTCTTTGTTCCACATCCATACTCTGTCGCAACATGCATTTTCAAATATACAGCCAAGAGAAAGCTAGAGAATTCCTCCATCATTCCACTCTGCCATCAATTATTTGGTGCTTAACAGTCCATAACCTAAGGTAGGGTTCACATAAGAAAATAAAGTAGAATGCCTCACCATCCAAAGCTAGCGTGCCAACATATGGGTTGAAAGGTAAATGGATACCCAGTGTGTTGTGGTGGATACCGGAACAGAATGGGACTCGTGAGGCCTGGGTTTGACTTCTTGTTTGGCCACGGAAACTCACAGGGGGTGGCAATGGAATTGATAAAACTGCTCCTTAAATACCTCTCTTTGAAAACCTAATTAGGATCACTGTAAATCAGTTCCCACTTGGCTCATAATACATATAACAGAGATGGAGAAGTATATTACTGTGAAAATATACCCTAGACTCAGAAGCCAGTGCCTGGATAGCCTTCATTCTACCAAGCGGAAATTAATCCTTCATATATGCATAGCCCAATGAGACAACCCAACAACATTTAACTGAGGGTGAACAATGTGCCTCATTCTACAGAAGGGCAGGGGCAGAGAATAACTGCTAGGCCTTTTCAGCCATGGGCAGTAGAGATCAGTAAGCTCCCAACTCACATTTTCCTTCCTCATCTCATGTAGGTTCATGCAAGATATATTTTGTTTTTAAAAGTATAAGTATTAGTATATATGCATCTAAGCTATGCCCGCCTTGTTTCAGTCACCCTTTTATGTAAGTCTGGACAAAAATCTGAACGTTTACAAAACATTTTTTATTGTAGTAGATGCAATAAAATTTCCAATCTTCTCAATTTAAAAATGAAATCTTGACAGCTCCATGTACTTCCTGTGGAACTTTGATACATAACAAGAACAAACCAAGGCTGTAAATAGGACAGACTCTTTGGGATACTTCATAACCTTGTTATTTGAACCCCACATACAGTTGGGACAATGATACAGATTATGGACAAATTCTGCATTATGTAGGAAGGGCAATTTTTAAAACTTTCTCAACAGCAAACTCAACAAACAGTAAAACTGTTATTGGGTTGTACCACTTTATATTACAGATAGGGAAATCACATGATTTAATGTTTCTACCAATTTAAAAATAGTGAAATTCCCCACAACTACCTTTTAGTCTCTTACATTCATATATATATATGTGCGTGTAAGGTAGCAGTTTTCATACACACTAGCTTCCTGTAGCAGACTGCCCTTTCTTTAAGCCTCCCTTGCTGCAAGGGATTCTTAGGGAAACAGCTTACTTTTTCAGGCTCAAATGCAGCAAGATTATGCTAGATTTGCATGACTAGATTTGGAAGCTTCTCACAGTAGATCTTCAACAGGTATGAGCCTGGGTAGGAAATGAAGCTACCACACTCCTCTCAAAACAGAACAGACATAAAAACAGAGTTCTTTCTCGTTCTAACTATATACAATACAAATAAAATAGAGTTTGTTATGAGCAACACAAGAGGTCTGCAGAATGACTATACAAGCCCTGTTGCTTCCCTTTGACAGTATCATGCGATTATCAATACAAGGTTACAAAAAAGACAATGTATTTTGCACTTTCGGATCATCTTGGTCTCTGGAGAGACCGAAAGAACAGTGACACATGTTTACAGATCTCATTGTAAAAGAAAACAAACAAACAAACCCCAAAAAAACAGATCCAACATGATTCTCAGTTGTAGAAGAGATTTGTCTGGATTCAGGCAAGTTGCTCAGCTCTTGAATGACATGGAAGTTTAAAAACTATCCCAAATGAAGAGAAGATTGGGAGAGAGAGAAAAGAAAGCATAAGAGCAAATAATATTGTTTTACTTTAAAATCATCCACCATAGTATTCCAAATTGTACAAAAAACCCGCAAAATTACTTCCTTAGATTGCAGGCAAGATTAGATTCTTTGCCAAATGCAAAAGAAGATATGTTGGTACATCTAATGTTAAATTTGTTGGAAAAATGAAAAGACTGTTCAGCCTAAACACATATTGTTTTATCAGGTTTGCAGGAGCTATGCTCCTCCCACCTAAAATTAAAGTAAAATGATACATAACTGGAAATGCCCAGAAAATCCCACAGGAACAATCATACATCTCCATTAAAAGTCACATTTTTAAAGTTTTGCCATTTAACTTAACTGGCAACTTTCTGCTCAGATTAATAGTAGAGGTGGCTATGTTAAGTCAATCCTTTGCAGAAATGATATTCACCATTTCATCATTCAAAATGGTGAAGCATGAAATTCTGTTGAAGTAACTGAAACTTAGTCACTCTCAAACTTGATGGAGTTTATCTGCGTAGAGATAGCGCCACCACAATAACTTCCCCTTTTCTTCTTTGTCTTTTCATGCCGGAAGGATTTGCCCTTGGTAAATTTTAGGACTTCATTTGCTTTCTCACCCCAGTCACCTGCAGCTCCTTTCTGAGACAAAAAAAGACCATTAATGATTAGCAGTCAAGCACAATATTAAACAGCTACTAAAAGGTGTTTATTTGTTTACTTTTTTGTGAGTCACAGTCTCTTTTAGACAAGCAGTTCCTAGATAGCCTCTTAATTCTTACATTTTGTATAGACTGTTTCATGTACGGTCAAATCTCTTCTTACCTTAGCATCAAATGAATTGTCTGCTACCCGTGCATCTACTTTCACCTCTTCTACTTTTACTCTGCGGAAAGGACTAGACTGCTGTTGAAAGAAAATTTGTGTTTTTGTTATTTTCTGCAGCCATCATTGTGACAATGCAAAGCATGAATTCAAAGTATATCTGATTCCTGGCCGTACATCCTCTGCCCTAAATAGCAAAAACCTTCCTGGACTAGAGACTGCTTCCAGAGTTTCCAGCAACTAGAACCTCAGACAGAACACCACTCTTATTTACTGTAGCACAAGGATAATCATAGATGAACTCAGAAATGAAATCTTTTGCAGCTCTTGTCAGAAATGTCCATCACTAGATTCTGCTTTTTCATTACTCACCCGCTTTGTCTTGGGGAACGTATGTGGAGTTCTGGGCTTCATCTTATTTCTTGGTGTCTCCAACTCCTGATCACCATCCCTCTTCCGTTTCTTCTTGGTGGGACCTGCCACAATTCCCATACATGTTAGAATACAACATAATCACATCTCAGTCTAGGGAGTGTAAGAAATGCTTTTCAGTGATCTTTGTATCAAGCAACTTAAATGAACATTTGTGACTGTCCAAATGTAGGCAAAATACTTGTGAAAAGCGAATACACACAGAGTATTAATTTTAAAAAGCCATACTTAAGTATAAGCCAGTTTAGAATGAACACCAAAGCATGGATTGCCTTTATGAGAATGAGCCCTCTCATCCTCTATTGGAGCATCTAAGAGAATACTGAAAGCTTTTGCCTCCATTTTAAATTAACCACAGCTCAATATGGTTTCAACCCCCATTCCCAAAACTGTGGTCAGTCTTAACTATAATCAATGCACAGAAGACAGCTTTCTAAACCTTATTTTGAATGTCAGTGTTAATTAAAAAGGAGGAGAAACTACTAAACTTCTTGCAGTTGTACTAGAGGTGTAGGGGCCTGCCCCCAAGGGACTCACGGGGATAAACAGGACAGGACCTAGTATTCTCCTCTCTTCCCCCCCCCCCCCAATTTTATATGCACACCAGTATGCAAGCACACATGCATTCTTCTCCCACCCTGATAATGGTCTCTGGGTATGGTGGAAACCTCTCCGCCCACTGTGTTAACATTCCACTGCTATCCCAATCCAATGCTCAGCTGATCAATGACTAGAACAGCTGCATACAAGACAGAGCACTCCTCGGTGCTCATTGTTCAAGTGCTCATTGAACAAGATGTGGTGAATCAGCTACCAAGCAGGACAGGACATGGAGGCATATGGAAGTCGATCGCACATCACCTTTTGTGGTACACTGTCTGAACTGGCTGATACCCTATGTTTAACACTTCCCCAAGGACTAGTCACCTACCTCCATTCACGGTCCCTTCATCAGAACTGCTGCTCTCTGCAACACAAGCTGCTTCAGCTTTTACATTCTTTGATGCTGTCGGTTTGCCTGTTGAGTTCAATGAAGTCTTTGGTTTCTTTTTCTCAGATGAACTGCAACTTTTCTTGAGTTTCTTTTTCACTCCTCCTGTCTCTTCAAGCTCTTCATCACTGGAGCTATCTGAAGAGCTGCTGCTTTCAGCTGCTGCCTGCTTACTGGCCGGCACACTTTTGCCTCCTCCCACCTTGTTAGCTGGCTTCTGGGCAGGTTTGCTCTGTTCTTCTTCACTGCTTGAGCTACTTGAGTCTGAACTGCTTGATTTAGAGGCAAGGTTACTGGACTTGGCTGGTTTAGCTGTCTTTGTGGTACAGATTTTTTTAGGAGTTTTGTTATTCACAGTGCTGCTATCTGTTTTCTTTGCCGTCGCTACCCCAGGAGTCTTTTTCACTATTTTTGTATCTTGTCTTTTTGCAGACTTCACAGGAGCCTCATTCTCAGAGCTATCAGAATCTTGGGGGTGGGGGGTGGAAATAGAGTTAAAAATATAATTGACAAGAACAGTCTATAACACCAGAGACAGCCTGTCTACACTGTTGTCACAGTTTAGATTTAGCCTGGAGAAGACAGTATACATATGAAGTGATACATCAGAACCTCAACATTCTGAATATCTGGAGAACATGAGAAAGAAATCCAGTATTCCAAGAGAGGGATTCAGTGGGAAAGTAATGAAACACTTACTGCAAGACACTTATTTTATACAGAGGAAGGACACCCTTACAGTGAGTTGTCCCTCCCACTCACCCTGATCTTTATTGAGCTGATAGTTCCCTGTAATGGTGAGGACAAGCTGGAACTTCAGGCCTATTTCAAAGGCTCCTCTTGACAATAAATAAGCATGACACAAAACAGATAACAGAAGAACAGAGAATGCTGGGCCAAGAGGATAGTTACCCAGTGCTTCCCCATAAGACCTAAATATGCCACCAAACTCCAACGTCTGGTACCAAGCAACCTAGGTGGAGAAGAATGTCCTTCCTCCCTATGTAAAGGTCTGCAATAAAGTGCCCAAGTTACTTTTTCCTATGAGGCAAAAGGACATCCTTTGAATAGAACTTCCTAAATTCAAGAGTCCCCAGGTAGATCTCAGATGCTGTTGGTCAAGATTTCTATCTGTAGTTAATGATCCCCTACTGGGGAACCACTTGTTGAAGGACCTGGCCTGAAAAAGTGCCTCCACAAATTCAAAATGGCCCAGCCCATAGTGCCTTGTAAACAAAGGCTGTGCCCTCTAAGTAGCTGCCTTGCAAATGTCCAGGAGAGGGACTTGAGTATTGTAGGCTATCAAGGTGGCTGCACTTCCAGTAGAATTTGTGGTTATGTTATCTGAGATTGTTTTGCCAGAGGTTGTATAGCAGATGGCTATGCAAGCCTTAATCCACCTCATCTAGTTAGAGTTTTAAACCCTTTCTTTCCCATGTTTTTAAGTTGAAATGAAATCAACAGAGAATCAGAGCATCTAAAAGCCCTTTTCAAGTAAATCTTCATAACCCTCCACATATCTAAGGTGTGCCATTCCTTTTCTAAAGCGTGTGTGTGGCTTTGGACAGAAGGTAGGTGGGATAAACCTAAGCCTGAAGGAAGGTTGAATTGACCTCTGGGACATGTGAAACATCCAACTAGAATAACCACTGACTCTTGTTTTAATTATATAGCTCTGGCCTGGCTGAAAGAGGATCAAGTTTGGAATCCCTCCTAGCAGAGGTAACTGTGGTCAGGAACAGTACCTTCCACGATAAATGCTTTAAAGACATCTTCAGGAGGAGTTCCAAAAGTGCCACAATAAGGGCTTTGTTGACAATAAGTCTCCAGGAGGGAAACCTAAGGATAGGGGGAGCTTTTAGAGATATACCTCAAAGAATCTTCATAATGTCCTGATCCATGTATAATGAACTGCCATTTTAATGGAGGTAATACTGCCACTAAAGCCACTAAAGTATTTGCAGAAAGACCCTTGTCCATTGCTTTCTACAGAAAATCCAAAATATCTGAAATAGAAGCTTTCTACACCTATCAACCCTTTGTATTGCACCCGCCATGGAAATTCTATGGATGAGATTCCCTGCTGTTATGGGCTTCTCTCCACAAGCAACACTGAGTATGCAATGGCATGAAGCAAAATCAGCCCTTAAACAGAGAATAATGGACATGGAAAGGCAGGTAGATTTTAGTAGATGCCCCAACTTTGGAGTGATAGACACGCACAAATATCGCTTGCTCCCCATGGCCTATTTATCACAGCTTGAGACATATAAGTTTAGGAAAGCCTTTACTCTGGCTAGATGTGAGGCCTTTCCCTCAGTGGTGTTGGAAGGCAGATTTAAAAAGATCTTGAGGGAACAGAGATTGTGCCCTTGTGGATCTGGTGAGATAGAATCCATTGAGCATATGATGCTCAGATGTAACAGGCACAACAAGATTCGAGGAAAATATATTACCCCTCTCTTAAAAGACATGACCAGCCAATCAGACTCGGACTTCTGTAACCAATTGTTAATTGATCAAAATCGCACTACTACAGAACTGGTAGCAAAATTTTGGGTGGCATGCCATAGTAGCCAGGATAGCCAAACTTAGACATTGGTCTTACATTGTTATATTTGCATCTTTATTGCTTTTTGCTTATTTGATTTGGCTTTTTGCAGTATATGTCAGTACTTGAAGCTCTGCATTTAATTTTGTTTTATGTATATGGCTTGATGCTGTAACAATAATGTATGTATGTACTGTATGTATGATTCCCTGCTGGATGCTAACATAGTTGAGAATATGTTCCTAGAACCCCTTGGTTCAGGATGAATTTCTGTTCAACAACCAAATGAGAAGCTGCAACTATTTCAGGCCAACATGGCAAACTGCCTTGATTGAGAAGGTTCCTGGTGACTGAGGGCTTTAACTTGCTTACACTTACCTCTAGCTGGGTGGGAAACTACGCTCTTCCAAAAAGATGCTAGTATGACCTTCTGCCTTTACCCTTTGGAACACCTTCCCTATCCCTATGGAAGGAAAAGGCATTCAACAGATCCTGAGGCCAGGGGACTGTGAAGGCACCCATGCCCTCTACTCCCACTGACCAGTACTCAGAGGAGTATCTGCTCTGCTCATCTTGTGTTTCACTGGAAATGCAAATAGGTCTTTTAGTGGGCTGACCTGGTCAAGGTGATTCTTGCCAGGTTTACTCTGGAGAATCTATGTCTTGCCAGTTCAGCCAATCTGCCCTGGTGTTCAGTCACCTTTATGAGCTCTGTCTCCAGGGAACAAAGGTGAGACACCAACCCATGTGAGAAGGGAGGCCACCTCTGTCATCAGGGAACATGACCTCATCCCTTGCTTGTTACTGATATGCACTTCGACTGTCATGTTGTTCATGTGAATCATTTCCTCCCTAACCCTGAACTATATTTTCCTAACTGCATCAATGGAACTTGCTGATGTTTTAGTACATACACTTGCAAAAACAATTTCTCAGTAAGCAAAGGACAGAAGTGAGGAGATGAAGAACAAGTTTCCTATCAAGGTGGAGACAGGAACTTGACTGAAGTTCTGGGTTGTCTTCGCCACCAGAGGGAGCCAGCAGCTTAATAAAGATTGGTTATCAGCTTCTCCTTATTGAAGCGATTGGGAGGGACAAACATTACAAGGATGTCCTTCTTGCCCTGTAAAATGCCTACCTGTTAGGATATTAACCCCTAGATCTCACAAATAGAATGAGCACATCTTCTTGATCAGTTTCCCTAAATGACCCACTGGAATACCTTGTAATTTTAGGACCTTACAGAAGTTTTTAGAGACTTGTCTATTCCAGTATGTATTTAATTTTAATATATTATGCTTCTAATTAAGATTTTCTCTGTAGCTACTCTTTTAACGCTTATATCCTACTTCGTATTTGAATTATTTAATTAATTGTTGTTGTTTTTGGCTTTACTTACATGTTCTGTATTTTTCATTAGGTGTAAACTGCTGTAGGAGGATTTTACCTCAAAACAGGTATTCAGTTATCAAACACTGCAAGGGCATAAAGTCACAATCCAGAAACAAAAATACTGATGGACCACTCTAAAATTCTTTTTCAGCATACTGTAAGGAGTTACCGCCGAAAGAAAACTGACCTACCTTTAAACATTTTTGCTTAATTTACACTGTCTCCCTATTTGTGTCCCAGTATGTCTGTCTTAGAATCCACACAACTAAAACAAGTCCCTGAAAAGTGATAATACAGCATTACATAGACACCTTGCTTATACTCTGATCTAACAGCTACTTTTAAATAAAATGTGAGAAATTCACATCAGTTCTGCCTTTTAATTCAGAACTTTTAGTACTAACTGCAAACAATCAAAAATACTGATTAATTCCTTCTCCTGGTACAGCGACTGGAAATTATCATCACAGAACTGTACTTACGCCTAGCTACTAGCAATACCTGAGCTATCTGAGGAGCTGGTGTCTTTCTTCAATTGAGCTGGTTTGACAGCACCCTTTGTTGTAGCAGATTTTGCAGCGAGCTTGACTGGCACCTTCTTCTCTTCTTCAGAGCTAGAATCTATGGGGGAAACTTTTTTTTAATGTGTGTGCATATTTGTCCTTGAGCATATGTTCTTCTTAAGCTTATATTGCAAAGCAGGATGTGCCAACAGCCTTCTGACCATATAACCAAACCAACATCACTACAGTATAACACATAACTATAACCTTAAAGTGGGAATTACTAATGGTTTGTTTTTGTTAAAAATATTAAGATGACCAAGAAAATAGGAAAACATAAACAATGTGTTATGCATAGCTTGACATTAAAACAGTTCTTTAATTAGCCACTTACCAGAATGGTTAGAGCAAACAGCAACTATGTTTAACTGGGCAGACTAGCAAGTTGCTACATTCATCCCCTAATTTCCTCTATTATAAAAAACAGTCCTACCATAAACAGGATCCTTAGGCCTACAGAGAGAGAAAACTAATTATGTATGTGTAAAAGTGCAGGTAGGCCTACTGTGCTTAAATCTATGAAAACTGTGCTTCAGCCAGGGGACTGGTCCCAATGCTTCTCTTCCTGACAGGAGGAAACAATGAAATGAAAAAAATCTCTCTTCTATGTTTCCACTTAAGAGTGGGTAAACATGGCTCAGAAATGGCTTGTCAGGTTACACATGTTACAGGCCTCTACTTTTCCGGACCCAAGCAAGGGAGTCAGAAAAGAACAAGCTGTTTAGATTGCTATTTTATGTTCTATACTTATGCCTTTGCTTCAAGCACATGCCTTAGGGGCACAGCATTAAGCATGCCACTGTAGATCTTTAAAAAATCTGGAAAAGAACATCAGGATAGGAAGTGCTGAAGTACTCTTTCCAAGGCTATATATATTCCTTAAATAAACTAACAAAAACTAGTTCAGATAGCGTAAGGACTACTTCTATACTCCAGATGTATCAGTTGGCAAGCGTCAAAATACTACCTAAGCCTCTCCTATGCTGGCATGATTCCTTTGCCAGTGAAAATTCACAGGCACAACTATGTCAGGGAGTCCAAAATAGGTGTGATGGGCCCTCAGATCCTGATTCTGGCCTAGCATTAGTGGCACAACAACATTCTGAATTCAGAGGTATTCTAAGTTTAAAATCCTCTTGCAATTTCCATGGAAAGCAGATTACTCTTAGTAATGGATACCCAAAAGAAACTCCCACTCAACTCTCTAGAGCAGTGGTCCCCAAACTTGGGCCTCCAGATGTTCTTGGACTACAACTCCCAGAACCCTTCACCAGTACTTCTGCTGGCCAGGATTTCTGGAAGTTAAAGTCCAAGAATATCTGGAGGCTCAAGGTTGGGGACCACCGCTCTAGAACATCCAACTACAATATTCAGTAGCATGCAAAGTATTCCCTTTTACCATGTAATTCTGAATTAACTGGATATATTGAGGGCATATTAAAAATAGTCTTTCTCATTACTGCCATGCTACCTGAGACAAACTCTCCCATCAATAAAAGGCTGCAACACCCATGGATCCAGAGACGTTTGTATCCAAGACACTCACCTGAATCACTCTCTGAGCTAGTCTCTCCTTTTTGGGTAGGAACAGGAGCAGATTTGGGGGTAGGTGCCTTTTTAGCTACTGGTTCTTCAGCTACAGAAAACATGAAATGTTTTCTTTATATGCTTTTCTCCAAGACACCGTGTCAGTTCAAAGCTAGCAAACACACAGTCTCCAGTTTTACAATCACTACCAAGCAGGAGTCAGGGGGTTTCACATATACACATGAATGCAAGGGCAATAAATCTACCTCCAAGCTGGAAAAGCAGCAGATTTTGCACTTTAGCTTAGAAGGCACTAAGGACTTAACACATGACTCAATTTACATACAAACCAGATATCTAGTTAATTCTAAGCCAGCTTTCCCCCCTGAGCATATCAGTTTATCAGATTACCCAACATATGGAAAAAAATGTAAATGAATCAAGACTGAATAAGCTCATCCAGCTAGTGATGAACTCTCCTACACAATCCTGAAAAGAAAGATTTTTCCTGTGGATGGGCTCTCTTATTTTCTTGAAACAATAAGATTTATAGTCTAGGTCAGTGGTTCTTAACCTTTGTTACTCGGATGTTTTTGAACTGCAACTCCCAGAAACCCCAGCCAGCACAGTTGGTGGTGAAGGCTTCTGGGAGTTGCAGTCCAAAACTCCTGAGTAACCCAAGGTTAAGAACCAGTGGTCTAGGCATACTTCTCAATTCAGTTTTACTCTTCAGCAACATCTGCACCCAGAGGTATATATATTTTATTAATTACATGTGACAAGCTAATTGTTTTAAACTGCTATGGTGAATGATCTATATGGGAGATGCAGATAGTGAGACTGTGAATATTGACATCTCAGCAGCATTTCACGTTACTGACAGAATCTTCCTGTATCCATTCAAAATACAGGGTTTGGAGTGTTTCGCTGTAGTGATTTATTTATTTATTTTATTTATTAAATTTATATTCCGCCCCTCTAGACCATGTCTACTCGGGGTGGCTGTCTTATTATATTTAAGGGGGTCTATATTAGCAGGTTCTCTTCCTGTCTTATTTTATTTAAGGGGGGAAAGTTGCAGGTGACTTTTCTATTTAATCTTTGGATTTTTACCCTTCAGAGTTCCTCAATCTTCTCTTCAAAATGACTGTATAGTTTTAGTAAAGTCACAAATATCCTGGACCACACCTTTTCTCTGCTCTATGCTCAGTTGACAGCAATTTTATATTTGCATTCATGTCTGAATAAGAGATGATCACCCACCCACCCAATGTAGCTGAACTAGAAAAATAAACCATGATGGCACTTCATCTGGGAAAGACTGATGTGAATTACATGAAAACAGCAATTTGTACATTTTTAAAAATGCAACCCTTTTGTTTTATACTCAGGTGTTGTATGCTTTGTCTGATACACTGGCTTAAGTCCTGCCACACAGTTACACAAACAGCTTAACTATTTAGAGGGAAATTATTGCATCTTAAGGTATCTCTAGACCTTATCTGTTCAGTACAACACTGACCAAAGTATAAAACTGAGGCCCCAATGAAATTATAACATAACTCTGTATACAACAGCTGTTTGCAGAGATTTCGCCCCAATGAAATTATAACATAACTCTGTACACAACAGCTGTTTGCAGAGATTTATTTCACAGCAATTTGCTTCCAAAACTAACAATGTATATTTTTGCACAAGATTTCAGCCACTGAGTGAACCCCTTCCTGAAGAACACAGTCTTGCTAATATAGAGACAGGTTTTTTTTTTATTTCTTGGACTACAGATACCACAATTCCACTTTCTGGGAGTCCTTCCTGATTTACAAATACTTTACAAACATTTAGATGTGGCTCACTGGAGATAAAATGCCATCAATGGAAGCTTTTGAGGCTTAGCTAGGCCTAGCTCCATCCAAGGTTCCTATTTCTGGGCTGGTGCTAGCTGGAAGCTTTCTTTTTGAACAAGAAGCCAGGTGAAGTTAGACCTAGTTAACCCTCAAAGCCTTCCAGTTTAGGCTTCTTCTCCTACATGAGTCACATTTAGGGGTCTACAAATCCAGTAGAATTACAAAAATCTCATTCCCGATAATTTGGCAACCTTGAAGATCTACTACTATAACGTTTGTCATTGCTTCAAGCAGGCGTCTCTTAATTTCGTGGCTGCTGTCACCACCTGCAGTGATCATGGACCCCAAGAAAGTAAAATCTGTCACTGCATCTATATCTTCTCCTTCTATTTGCCAGGAGGTGATGGGACCAGTGGCCATGATCTTAGTTTTTTTAATGTTGAGCTTCAGACCATTTTAGTGCTCTCCTCTTTCACTCTCATTACAAGGATCCTTAATTCCTCCTCACTTTCTGCCATCAGAGTGGTATCATCTGCATATCTGAGGTTATTGATATTTCTTCTGGTAATCTTAATTCTGGCATGGGATTCATCCAGTCCTGCCTTTCACATGATGTATTCTGCATATAAGTTAAATAAGCCGGGGGACAATATACAGCCTTGTCGTACTCCTTTCCCAATTTTGAACCAATCAGTTGTTCCATATCCAGTTCTAACTGTTGCTTCCTGTCCCACGTATAGGTTTCTCAGGAGATAGATAAGGTGGTCAGGCACTCCCATTTCTTTAAGAACTTGCCATAGTTTGCTGTGGTCGAGACAGTCAAAGGCTTTTGCATAGTCAATGAAGCAGAAGTAGATGTTTTTCTGGATCATCTGGCTTTCTCCATAACCCAGCGTATGTTAGCAATTTGGTCTCTAGTTCCTCTGCCCCTTCGAAATACAGCTTGTACTTCTGGGAGTTCTCAGTCCACATACCACTGAAGCCTACCTTGTAGGATTTTGAGCATAACCTTGCTAGCGTGTGAAATGAGCATTGTATTCAGCTTTAAAAACTTCCAGTGAACCACAGATCCCATATAAAGAATGCTAGATGGTCACAACTGCATTAATCCACTATTTGCCAACCTTCAGACAGTAGAGGCATGCCCACTAGAGGCCACCGTTCTGTATTTGTGCTGCTAAGTCTGCACCTTCTAAAGGTGTTGCTGCATAAGGAATAAGAATCATACCCGATGCAGATGGTGAAAATGAGAATGGAAGATGTATGGGAAAGGAGCAAAAAGGTCAGAGCAGCAAACCATGAAGATTATAAGGCAGTTTCCTCTATGGGCAGTTGTTCTAGGCTGAGGAAATTTTTTAAATTAGTATGTCTTGGGATGTACTTATAGCTCAATACACCCCAGTACATGTTTTGGGAATTACTGCATTGCTTAGTTGTCATTATTTTCAAGTTCCTTTAAAAGAACATTTTAACATTTTAGAAATAAGTAGGTCTTCAACTGGCAGGCTTACCCCTAAGGGAAGGTACATCTCTTAAAAGTAATCCTTCAAATATAAACATCATGTTAATCATGTATAATTCTTTCAAATACGTACTTGTTTTTTTCTTCTTGGACATTTGTTCCTTTTTGTCAGTTTGTTGCATCTTTTTCTTAGAGGTTTTTACAGTAATCTGTTGTTTGCCTTTTGCTGACTCTAGGGAGACAGGGGGTGGCACAGCACTATATTGCCCTGTAAAGACACAAGTCAGTAAAACTGAATTATATCAATAATCAGGTTTTGTCCTTTTCTACACAAAAAAGTACAAAACTAAGATGAAATTATATACATCTCCATATACAGTGGACCCTCGACTTACAGATGGCTCGACTTACAGACTTTTCGAGTTACAGACTTCTCTGGCCGCAAAATTTAGATTCGACTTACAGCCGGAGAATCGACTTAGAGACCAGAAAAAAGCCAAAATGGAACAAAAATAGAATAAAAACTGCCAGTTATGGGATTAATCGGTTTTCAATGCATTATAGGTCAATGGAGATTCGACCTACAGACTTTTCGACTTGCAGTCACCGTTCCAATACACATTAATTCCGTAAGTAGAGGGTCCACTGTATATTTTTCACATCCTTTAACACTTGAAGCCAAGGGGATCCATGTAGCAAACAATAAATTGCTTCTGGATTTTATAAATGACATAGATTTTAAAAGGGGATGATGGTGGATTTAAAACAAAATCAAAGATAAAAACATGATGTCCAAAATGTTACATCATGAAATTCAACTAATAAATTTCATGTTTTAAGTTATATATATTTGTGTACCTGGTATACAATCAAGTAGTTTTCACCTTACCGGAACCCCTATGAATCATTCATTTCCTATGACTAATAGCTCTACTCAGGTTCTATAGCCTAATGGTTACAACTTCTTTTATTGAATCAGAATTATGTGCATCAACACAAAGTAGAACACAGTCCTTGCAATTTCACTCTACAGCTGTTCTTCCCTTTTACTTGCATTATTTCAAGTACTGTACCAAGATTCTTTTGGAGAAGGTGGTTTTTGTTTGTATATAGAGAGCGCTGCAGTGGCAGGCAGCTATTAAAGGATAACTAGTGTCTAAAATAAAGAATAAGCAAAGGGATTAAGTTATTTTTCAAATACATTCAAATGTGAAGAAGCCATCACCATCAGAAAACCTCAAGTGATAGCAATTTCTACCTATGTTTCATTAAATAAGAAGCATATGTAATCTGTGCATTGATTGAATTTCTGCAACACCTACCATTAAAAGGTTCTCTAAAATGGTGCTTCCCATTAATTAGTTCTGCTAGCTGAGCTACTAGGCTTCCATGAAATGTTCAAGCAAACACAGTAATTTTTATAGTACCACACTAAGTAACAGCATTTGCTTTCCATCAGCACAAGTCAAGTTTCTGAAGAACAGAATTTTAGACCTCAATTTCAAGGAAAAAAGAGTCGCTATCAGGGCCTCAAACTAAAATATCTTTCAGTAACTCACCTTTCTTGGGCTTTGAGGATTTCTTTTCATCCTCTGAACTGTCTGAAGAATCCTCACTACTGCTGCTGCTGCTGTCCTTCTTCAGAGTTTTGCCTTTATCCGTGGGTGGTCGAGGAACTTCAGGTTTTGACTGTGGAACTTTCTTTGCCTGGTTCTTATTACAGGAAAAACGATGTCCCAACACCTCACATTCAATAAGGGTGCAGTTTCCAAAGGCTAATAATCTTTCAGTTACTCCTTCCATACCAAGCTATTCATTACTCAAATACAAGTATCATACCACATAGAAGTCTTCTGGAACACCACCACATAGGATTTAGATCACTGCTGGGGAACCTGTAGCTCTCCAGATGTTGCTATAGCACAACTATCATCATTCCTCAACACTAGCCAGGCTGGCGTAGGCTAACAGGAACTGGAGTTTAAGACTTATACAGACCATAAGAGAAACCAATTTTATGGCTTCTTGAACAATGATATAATGTTACAGAAGCTTTTCAAGCCAGAGCCCACTTTTATACTTTGGTGGGTCAAGTTACCTATTGTGAGTGCAGAGATGGAAAAATTTTGTGCATGTATCTGTGTATACACAAAGAATAACAAGCTTCAGCAATGCAAGAAAAGTTGTAGGCATGCCATAATATTTCAAAGTGATACTTGAAGCATTCTGTTTCACAGGTATACTCTCTATGATCATTAAAGCAGGCTAGCATTACTAAGCCACCCTGAAAATACATATTTAAGTATTTACTCAATAAAATGAAAATGTTCATGCTGCAGCAGAGGAGCTGCTGTTCCTTCTATGCTGATTTCAAATGGGATCCACACCTCACTATGTGGGCAAATTTGCAGACTGCGCTCTTTTAAAAGAAGATGAGCTCTGATCAATTACTATATTTTTTCCGTGTATAAGGTGAGAGTTTTTATTTAAATAATTGGACCAAAAATTGAGGGTCGTCTTATACAGGGCAGGCAGCCGCTTTCCCTGCCTTTTGTGAAGCTACAGAGTAAATCAGCCATGAAAGGGCAGCACACTTGCACCCCTTTGATCGTGAAGCAACCATGAAAGGGTGCCAGGACCAAAGGGGGTGCGTGCATTGCCCCTTTGATCGTGAAGCAACCATGAAAGGGTGCATTGCCCTTTCATGGCTGCATTACCCATTTCCTAAGGTCCGCAGAGCTTAGAAAGTGGGAAAGGCAGCCAAGAAAGGGCGGGAGGATCAAAGGGGCACGTGCGCACGCTGCCCTCAAATTTTCTAATTTGGGTGTTAGAAAAGGGTGGGTCGTCTTATACTTGGGGTTATCTTGTAAATGGAAAGATATGGTAGCTTTTTTTTTTTCAAGAAAAAAGTTACAGGCTAACAGTTTTATGCTGCAGTCAGTTGCCTGAAAGAAAGCCTTGAGATCAGTATGGTATACTTCACAGAACCAAGTTACTGACTGGTTTTCAGGATCTTTACAAAAAATCTGACCAATTCACTACATATTTGGTACATACCGTGTTTCCCCCAAAATAAGACAGGGTCTTATATTACTGTTTGCTCCAAAAATGCAGTAGGGCTTATTTTCAGGGGATGTTTTATTTTTTTTCATATAGAACAGTCTACATTTATTCAAATACAATCACGTCATCTTCTTCCAGTTGCTGCACAATGGTAGAGGGTGGGGTTTCACTTAACTAGGGCTTATTTTTGGGGTAGGGCTTATATTACGAGCATCCTGAAAAATCATACTAGGACTTATTTCAGGTTAGGTCTTATTTTGGGGGGGAAACAGAGTACTTTTATTTATACATAAATATTTAGCATTCTACTGACCATATATAGTTATGATAGGCACAAAATATTGTTTAATAGGAATCTCTACCCACAACAGCCAAAGCATAACTTTGTTTAAATATACAACATATCAAGATCAAATTAAAATGATCAGCAATAAATTATGATTTCAAATGCGAACTACACCTTAACATATCTGCTTAGGCACAACTCAAATGCCAAGTTAAATGAAATCAATGATCTAACCAAAACTAGACATAAAAGAATAGCATGTATTATACTGCATTTAAGACTAACGATTTCTTTCCACTGTGAGCTTTCATGGATTAATAATGGACTGTAACTTGCAGAAGCTCACACTGAAATGGATTTGTTAAAGTCGCCACAATACTTTTGCTTTGGTTGTTAGTGAAACAGACTAACAGGGCTATCTTTTTGAAAACTGATTGAATCAAGTATTGCACTTACGGTCATTTTCAATATCTTGGTAAGGTTAACACAACTTGCTCACCTAAGGAACTTTTTCTCCCCCTAAACATTTATAACATAAGCTGCCTCGGGAAGACCATTATCTTCAAACAGGCAAATTAATATACATACAGTGGTCCCTCGCTTAACGATTACCTCATTAAATGACAAATCCGCTTGACGATGAGGTTTTTGTGATCGCTACGATGTTTTAATGGGAGAAAATCGCTTTATGATGCTCGGTTCCCTCCTTCGGGAACTAATTTTTGGTTTAACAATGGTTTAAAAACAGTTGATCGGCGGCTCTCAAAATGGCTCCCCGCTGTTTTTAGGACGGATTTTTCACAAGACAGGCACCGGAAAATGGCCGCCCTATGGAGGATCGTCGCTGGACGATTAGGTATTTAGCCCACTGGAACACACTGAGCGGTTTTCAATGCGTTTTTCCCGCTTGACGACAATTTCGCTCTACAGCAATTTCACTGGAACGGATTAATGTCGTCAAGCGAGGCACCACTGCATTGGCCAAAATCTCGTTGCTTCCTTATGACTGCAGAAGACAAGTAGCATAACTTGCAGTGGCTTCTTGCTACTAATTAACAAGTCCAGTCCCCACTTGGGTTTTCAGGTGTGCAAAAAACCCACTGGACTGGAAGAACTTGACTTTCCAGAGGAAACAGGATTATGCAACAGGATTTTGGCCATTAAAATATCTATCTGTCTGTCTGTGTGTAATGTATGTGTGTGTTATTCTGCACACAAAGGAATAAAGTGTGAGTGTGTGTTATTCTGCATACATTCCTTTGTGTGCAAAATAAATTCTTCTGCTTCTTTAGCCATTCTGCTTCTGAAATAGCTTTTCATTCCCATGTCTGTAAATCCAAAACAAATGAACTCCAAGCAAAGTAAATACTAAGAACACAAATATAATGGTATTTTCATAGAAGGACCTACTGCTTACCTTCACAGCTACCTTCTTTTCTGCATCAGAATCTTCACTGCTGCTGCTGCTGTCACTGCTGCTACTACTGTCTGCCTTGCCATTGGCAACTTTGGGCACTATCTTCATTTCTTTTGTAGCTAATTATGATAAAAACAAAGAATATTCTGTACAAAGGAGCAACAGAAATAGCTTGGGTCTTTGCTCATATTTGGCATATAGCTCCTAGTACAGCGATCCTCAACCCCTGGGTTCCGTGGGTCAGTGCCGGTCCATGGGCTTTCCAAGACTGGGCCGCGGAGACGGATCTCCGCCCCCCACATGCACGCATGGTGGGTGTGTCGCACTTGGGGGTGTGTGGCATAACACGGCCCCCCCCACAGAGCCTGCCCCACAACCAGTCCGTGGTTCCAAAAAGGCTAGGGACCACTGTCCTAGTAGATCACCTCCAAGAGATCACTGCCACATCGAAGGCAAATAGACCCCCCCAAGCATTCACAACTTCTGTTACTTTCCCAAATGTTGACCAGGCAGAAGCCCTAGGAAAAGAAATTTGTGTTGCCCTATTTTAAAAAATGTCTTTGTGTTTTTCGTTAGTTTTTGTATACTGGAATATTGGGACCAATATGACTGATCTTTAATAGAACAATTTTTAAAAAATAGTCAACTTTGTTTCATTAAACTCTAAATTTAATCAATCTCAGTGAACTCAAAGAGACAGAAAATCATGTAAGAAAAGCTTTTTTTCCACCAGCTTTCTCATTTCTGTCTGGCAAAAGTAGGTGAATTACCTGATTTTGAAGATGGTTTTGTTGCTTTTTTAACTCCCACTGACTTTGGTGGCTGCTTCTTTGGAGCTTCATCTTCTGAGCTACTTGAATCTGAACTAGAACTGCTAGACTTCTTCTGAGGATTTGTTTTTAGATTGGGTGTCTTCTTTATCTTAAGATCCGGTCCCTTCTAAAACACAGCAAACAACACAAGTCATATAACTAGAAGCATTAGTAAGGTAGATTACATTTGTGACCAAGGTAAAACCTAACACTAGCAGAACATGTTCAGATCTAGCCTTGTATGCCTAATTCACAGCATGTGCTGACCACATCTGTTGGAACCTATCACTGGTGCACTTGAATTGAGAGTGGAACCTAGAATACATTGCCTTCGTATGCTCCTCTTCATTTGCAGAGGAAATGGTAGGCAAACTGCCTTTGACAGAAAGCTTATCCACCATTACTAATCTTCTCAGTGACAAATAGCAAGACTTCCTTAAGCACAGTTTTAAATCTACCATCAAACATCCACCAAAGAAAACCTGGCATTTTAACAATGTATTCATTTAAAATATATTTATCCATCTTTCTTTTTAAAAGAACCCAAGGCAGCTAAGCTGATGTGTACTGGCCATCAACCATTTGTATCTTAACAATGGCATGGTTTCCCCTTGTCTCCTTTAAATATATCCTGCTAGCAAAGCCTTTCCCAAGTGACTACAACCTTTTATTTTTTACATTCCATCTTCTGGTCTTTATCTCACCTCAACAGCCAAAATTATTTACCATTGTGTTTAAGTTTTGGGTAAAGGACAGGAGTTCCTTATAAGAGCCAAATTACAAATGTAAAAAGCATAAAAAGGCACAGTGTAAGCCCACCTATCCAACCAAGGTCAAGGGGTGGCCCCTCTTCCATTCCTAGATCCACAGACTCAACACACTGAAGTTTAAACAGAAAGGAGCTTATTAACACATGGGGGGGAACTTAAACTTGGTAATTGGTAAGTTCCTTGAACCTCCACAAGGAACCAGCCAAGGGGCTATTCGGTGACACTAGCTCCCCTCACTGTCTCTGTCCACTCCACACCTGCAATTAATGACACTGAAATAGGAAGGTTTCTAGCATTTCTTAATGGCAACTATCATAAGGAGCCAAAATTGGAGGCCCTGAGGAGCGAGAGCTGGTAGGCCTGCAATAAAGGCAAGCTGCAGAGCTCGTCACTGCCTGGCTCTGAGTCTGGGCCTGCTACCTCTGCTACTGAGGAAGTCATTGGCACTCTTTTCTCCGTTCCCTTCTCCAACATCAAAGTCATGCCAGGGCTGGTTCCCCAGCCCATCACCCAGGTCTTTCTCTTTCTCCTTTTTGTACTCTCAGCTGGGCCAGAACCCACATCAAAAGGTCATCTTTGTATATGTAATCCCACTTGCTTTTTGACTCGGGGAGGGGGCTCTATGTTGTAAGTCCCCTCCAGCTGCTCTTGCAATTTATCCCAGATCCCTTCTTCCCAATCAGACAGGTCCTCCCTCATGCCTGCATCCTCCTCTCCTGTCTGTCGGTCTACCTCTTCCAGGTGTCCTCTTATGGTCCCTATATCCAAACCTCCTTTCCCTCCTTCCCCCTGCCCTGAGGGTTCTTCCTCTTTCCCCCCACCTCCTTCAAGGGGTTAATTCCTCCCCTGCCTTTTTTGTCATCTCTTCCTCCATCTGACTCTTGAATCCTGGGCCCTGCTCTCCTCAATCTCCATGACAGCTAGAGCATAAGCTGCACTTTCCACCCCTCAGAATGAAAGCATTTGGGGGCTCAATTACACCTTGCACCCTTAGGCATGGAACAGGGGCAGATGGTCCACTATGGAAGCCCTTTTCAATGTGTTCATGTCATCTTAAGAGACCATCAAACGTGAGCCAGCAGAATGAAATACATTGCTAGCCACCTGTCATGGCCGCTCAAGAAGCTCTTCAATATTTTGTAGATTTCAGACTATCTCTATGTAACCAGACATGGAAAATTGACTATTTACTAACCTTTGTTGGCTTCTTCTTTTCTTGCTCAGAGTCTGAAGAGTCACTGGAGTCATCACTGCTGCTCACTGCACTGCCAGGAGCTGTCTTTACTGGCACTTTTATTACAGTGGCCACTTTACCAGCTAGATGGGGTGGGGAAGGAAGCAAATAATTAAGACAACTAAGAATAAAACGTTAGTTTCTGCATCTTAGCAATAGGCAGCATTTAAGAAAAACTAATACTGCAAAGGAATAAAGAGCAATCCTAAGAAATCCATTCTTCTCCATTCATCATATTAGTTCAGTCCTGAAAATAAATCAGTGTTCATAGAATATGACCTGAATGTGTCAGTGTTAATACCGTGTTTCCCCCAAAATAAGACAGGGTCTTATATTAATTTTTGCCCCAAAAATGCATTAGGGCTTATTTTCAGATTTTTTATTTTTTCATGTTCAACAATCTATATTTATTCAAAAACAGACATGTCATCTTCTTCTGGTTGTTACACAATGGTGGAGGGCAGAGTTTCACTTAACTGGGGCTTATTTTTGGAGTAAGGCTTATATTACGAGCATCCTAAAAATCATACTAGGGCTTATTTTCAAGTTTGGTCTTATTTTCGGGGAAACAGGGTATTACTGAAGTAAAGCGTTTCAAAAATTTGCCACAGATTTTCTCAAGGAGGCAATTAACACATATAATAGTATGAAGAAATAAAAAGCTACCAACCACACTCCATTAATGTACTATTGTATCCACTTTGTGCCAACTAATATTAATGAGAGCCATGCCTCCACTTCTCAAGTGCAGGTCTAATGAGCACATGTTTAAGCATTTAATTGTTTCCTCTCAACTAAATTCTGGGACAATTTGTAATGTTAGGGAAGTGCACTTCAATAACTGACAACCCACTTACACTATCCTATTTGACTGTGGACTGCCAACCATTTTGATATAGGATTACAATTAACACTAAGGTGTATACACGTTATCCTTATTACTTCACCAATTAAATCCACTCAACAACTTCTATTTGCACTTGGCTATTCATTGTACATGCTACAAGGAGCACAGGACTACTACCAGAACTGCAAAGACGCTATAGTCCTGCTAAGAAAATACAAGCAACAGTAAATAGTAAAAGTAAAGCATATCAAAGAGATTTATGTAGTGAGGTATGGAAATGAGAGCTGGACCATACAGAGGGCTGACCACCGAAGAATTGATGCTTTTGAACTGTGGTGCTGGAGGAGACTCTTGAGAGTCCCATGGACTGCAAGGAGATCAAACCTATCCATTCTGAAGGAAATCAACCCTGAGTGCTCACTGGAAGGACAGATCCTGAAGCTGAGACTCCAATACTTTGGCCATCTCATGAGAAGAAAATACTCTCTGGAAAAGACTCTGATGTTGGGAAAGTGTGAAGGCAAGGGGGACGACAGAGGACGAGATAGTTGGACGGTATAATCGAAGCTACGAACATGAATTTGACCAAACTCCGTGGAAGACAGGAGGGCCTGGTGTGCTCTGGTCCATGAGGTCATGAAGAGTCAGACACGACTTAATAACTAAACAACAACAACAATCAAAGAGATTGTCACTTTCAACCAGAATTGCTCCATTTTGCACTCAAGTGCAGAATTGTCTGCGGGTAACTAGGCAAAGAAATTTTGGAAAAGCTGGTTCTTTTTTTTACCTTTTAGGCCACACATAAACTGCACAGTAATGTTTAGGCAGCAGAGTGGATAAAAATAAATTATTTTCTAAACAATCTAAATAATCTAAATAAAAAAATGATTCTTGCAGTTTGAAAGAACTGATATTTCAACAAAAGGAACCTGCAGATACCTATATTTAACCAAAACAATGAAGAGTCCCCTGGTATCTTAAAGAATAACATTTTATTTGTCAAGAACTCTCACAGACTGCAAGTACTTCAGCAAACGCAAGCACTTCAGAAGACAGATAGGACACAGGATTAAGAAGAATTGAGATGCTGCTGAGAAGAAACATAAATGGCACAGACACAATTATCTTATCAATGGTTTAATAAGCAGTCAAAAGGAGGTAATAAGGACATTGCATAAATTAGCAGATTCACCCATCTGTCAAAAGAACAAACACTGAACACAAGAAAGTGGGAAAAGCTGTTGTCTGCAGGCACTATTTTCAGGCTTCCTGAAGGTTTCTGGTGGGCTTCTGTGAAAAAACAGTATGTATGGATTCCAAGTGTGTTTCAGGGCTTTTCCTGAGTTCCTAGGATCTGAGTGTAACCATAAACCGTTCTTGAGAATACATAAGCAGCACTCAAGTAACCCTTCAAAGCATGAATACTCTGATCTAAGCCAAAACAAACTAGCAAACGTCACCTTGTTTTCTGGCTGGGGGCTTCTCATCTTCACTAGAGCTGTCAGAACTGGATGAAGATTCTTTCTTTGCCTTCTTTGCAGGAGGACCATTGAGAACAGCCTGCCGCTTTTTCGCTTCAGGTGATCTGTGAAGAAATATGAGGGCCACTATTCTTTATTAAGCTATTGGTGATATTGTTTATTAAATCAAGAGAAGGTGAATGAAAATTAGTAAGTAATTTCGTATTTGAACTTATCCTTGTACCAATTCTCAAAGTTGATTTACTCACTAGGTTTTCCATGGTATCTCTTTCTACAGAGATAATGGATTTAGAGATTTTAAGAGAAGCAACAATTTACCAGGAAAAATGGTTTTACAGATCCTACTGGATGTGCGCAGTGCCTTGTTCAGAGCTATGAGGAGCCTGTTAGTTAAGTACTCAGAGAGTTTAAATCACTGAAATTACTCCCACATGTATCTTATTAAATATGCATCTCCCCTACACTTTTAACACCTTTCTTCCAGCAACTGTGTATCTATTAAAATGTATATCTATTAAACAAAATTGGAATCAAAATAGGCAATTTTCCTGAATAACTTTCACTACTTACTTGAGCCAGCAGTTGAAGACATCAAGGAGAGAAGCAGCATTGGAATCCTGTTCTGTCTAAAAGGCAAATCCAATACAAAATGCAGAAAACAGTAAGATGGCATTTTCTGGAAGACAGCTTTGACAGTGACTGAATCTCACAGGTTATGGGCAACTAGTTATGCAACGGCTTTGTCAAAAGGTAGCCACCAGGTATGCAGTTATAACATAATTTCAGGTATTTGGTGAGATACTATTGTAAGCTATTTATAACTATTCAACTAATTGGCTAATACAGACCCTTTTCTCTCTCGTGTGATTATTTAACTAACAGAATATAGAGTAACCTCAACAACAAAAAGTAAAGCAACTTGTTTTACCTTCAGGTATTTGGTGAGATACTATTGTAAGCTGTTTATAACTATTCAACTAAATGGCTAATACAGACCCTTTTCTCTCTCTGATGATTTAACTAACAGAATATAGAGCAACCTCAACAACAAAAAGTAAACCAACTTGTTTTACCTGAGGCAGAAAGGTTGTCTAGCAGCATAATACAAGAATTAGAACAAAAGATTTCTCCTTAATTCTTCTTTTAAAGTACATTTTTAGTGTTAAAGCCCCATTAACCTGTCCGTTTATTGAATATAACTTCACAAGCCTTCATGTAAAAAGCATACAATATTACAGAATAGAAGAAAAATGAAAATAATGTTACACTATGGTTCAGGCATATTATGTAGAACTGCCACAGCTCTGGCTTGCTGCATATATATAAAAATTTACCTCTCATTCTCCGTGTATCTGTGTGCGTGCATGCATGTGTCTGTGTATTCAAACTTCTGTATCACCCAGAGTGGTCTCTGTAGCCATATGGGTGGTATAGAAGTTGAATAGTCGAATGAATGAGTAATAAATAAGTAAATAAATGGAGCATGAGAGGTGCATTTTATATAGAACATGGTAACAAACCTATCAGACACAGCATGAACACCCAGTTCAAAAGTGCACCCTCTATTTTTGCCACACACTGTAACCAACTGTTGCTGCCAACATGTTCCCTTTTAGGAACCTCACTAACCTTATGCAAATTCTCATCTCTCCAACCTACATAGTAATCCCCGTGCTCCTACTCAGATGAAAGAGCTTTCCACCTTGTGCCACCTCCCTCCTAAAGGTCGTCATGCAAGGCAACTGTGGTTAGGACCTTTCTGATGACCATTCCTTCCTGGTTTATAAAAGCTTAACTCCTCTCCTTACGGCACTACTTCCAGCTCCCATTCCCGCCGGTGTCTCACAGAAATGGCACCAACATCCTCCCTGCCAGCCCGACTGCGTTCTGGCTAGCGCCCCACTTGCGGCTTTCATCCAGCGCCCCCTGTTCTCCCCAGGGCTCCCCTCCTTGCCTTCCTCCACCAGGCCTCCCCTCTCCGTTTAGAAACCCAGCCGCCCACCACCACCACCACCCCCGCCCGGTACCCCTGAAAAGCCACACAGGCCCAGTTCGCTCATTTTAAGCGGGGCTCTAACGCTGCAGGA